CTCATCAATGCTATTGTGAATCCAGACTCTGCCTCTCTGTAACCTCATTGGTCACACCTAGGTTTTGCTCCTCCTGGTGTCACACACCTTATTGATCCAGGTAACCTTTTGTCTTCACCTGAGGCAAGCCCCTCAAGGCCTTCCATTGGTCCACATTGTGTTCCAATGTCTATATCTATCCAAGCACATGGGCATCAAGGTGTGCACTCAGAATGGTGCCTATACTTTGAGTACACCCCAAAGTCTCTCATTTGGGCCTCCTCCTTAGTGCATATCACCTATCATCACCTCTGCTTTCTTGGTTCTGAATTGTGTGTTCTTTCTTGAATGCTTAGTGTGCTTGTAATTAGGGAAATTCTTTAATAAAAGTGATTTAATTTACTCTTCAAATCTGGAGTCTTCCTACTGTATTGGACCTTGGTATAAAGTGGTGTGCGATCCCTGATACCACTCTGGCCTCCCCTGCCACATAAGCTAATTTCCCCTAACAACAAGGCAGTGCTCATACCACACCACAGGGGCGCAACATCGCTTAATTGTTCCAGGCCCCAAGGATGCAAGGCTCACCGTTACCAGGGCCAGGGCCTTTTCAGTGGAAGCTCCTTACTAGTGGAATGAGCTCCCGGAAGAGATCAGGGCCCTGCGGGACCTTTTGCAGTTCCGCAGGGCCTGTAAAACGGAGCTCTTCCACGAGGCTTTCAATTAGGAGCCGCCGCCATTAACACCACCAACTACTTCACCTGACCATCTGGAGCATAGGACTGGCCTTAACCCGTCACTTGGCCGCTATTTACATTGGAGAGTATGTGGGACACTGCTGGACTGAGACCTTGGATTCCACAGTTATGAGCACGCCATCAATCCTTCTACATTTGGAGCACTTTAAATTAGTATGAGATGTATGATAGAATTTTTGTTGCTTTATGTTATTTAAATGTTTTATTGGTTTTATGTACTTAGGTACTTTGTACCGCTTTTGTGAGCCGCCCTGAGCCTGTTCGCAGGATGGGCGGGATATAAATATAATAAATAAATAAATAAAATATTTAAATACTAGTACAAACTATTTTATTTGCTCATTACAGAATCCATTTGAGGAGCTTCATGGCAATCAGGTTACCTTTTTGCATTCTAGGGACCTTATCGTATAAGACGCAAGCACAGGCACCAGTGGCCTCTTTCTATCTTGCCTTCATCAAAATACCAGTGGAAGACTATTTGCAGTAGCTACTCCCCAGCTCTGAAGTCTTTTGTGCCAGAGAACCAATTCCCAAGTACCTTCCTACCATGTTGAGGAAAACAAGCTTTTAAAAAATTGTATTTGAGTATTTCAGTCAATATGACTAAGTATTTTAGTCATATAGACAATTTAATAGGTATCACAATTTTTATTTTATTTTATTTTTTATTTATTTTTCCACTTATACCCCGCCCTACCCCGCTGAAGTAGGCTTTGTTATAGAAAATGGGACAATCTCACCAACTTGAGTAATTGTAGACATTCTGTTATTGAGCTTTCACAGTAGTTTCTCTGCTACTAACTGGCCAAGTGAATTCTAATCTGAAAGGGTTAAATCATAAGAACCACAAAGATACAAAACCCCCCAATAAGAAACAATAAAGAATGGATTTTTACCCCCTAGCATGGCAGCCCCCTGAAAAGCCCCTTTTGAAGGTCATGAATGGGATATCAAGAGCTCACGCAAGAAGGATTACTCCAAGATACTACATCCCATGCATCCCACACCACAGTCCCTCAGGAGTAGCTGACTGGCTCAGAGGGTTCAATTCATAATCTTCCATGATTCTAATGGGGAGAAGATCGGTGTGAGAGAAAAATGTAAACACTCTTCTGCACCAGCAGAGTCACTTCAGGCAAAAGTCATTCTCACACTGTCTATGCAGAATGATTTGCAAGACAACACTTTCAATTTCCTTATTCCAAAATAGAATTTGGTCAAATATTTAAAGATCGTGGATTTGTGTAGCCCCTCAACATATTCGCCATTCATTACAGCATGGTTTGCAATTTATAATCAAATGACAATCTTGTGGCACCTTACAGCTTAAACACCTTACAGCACCTTCAATAAGCGCATATGTTTTTCCTGCAACATACTGACATGGCTCGTATTCTGGAATTTATGCTTATTTGCATTTTGTGTTGAAAATCTAATCTTGTCCTAATATAGCAGATTTCATATAATTCATACAATCACCAGTTCTAGGTCTGAGAGAAGTGCAGAGAAGCAATGAAAATTTTTGAGAATAGCATTACTTCCATCAAGCTTTATAAGTTTGCATCATAATATCCATCAAATGAATTCAAGAACTGAAAAAAGTCTATGAAAACATAAACAATTAAATGAGAATTTATCTTCAGCACTAACCCAAAGTAGAACAAAAAATGCTTTGAATGCTCTATCTGATGGAAAAATACCACTCTATAAACAATATGATCCACTACAAATTTTTTATACCTACTTGGAAAGGCTATGTAATAGCATAAACACAGACTTCAATAAGTGCGTATATATGTCAATATAAGCCAGGGCTTTCTAAGTTTTGGGCAATTTTGGAAGCCAGTGAAAATTTGTGGTCACCATGATGACGCCGTTTCCCTCACTTGAAAGAGAAGCAGGGTCTCATCTCTGTGCTTCTCTCTGAGAGAAAAGTAAAGCCTCATCTCTTGTCTTTCCTCACTTGAGAGAGAAGCAAGGTCTCATCTCTGTGCTTTGAGCACTTCTAAAACACAGAACAAGGCCAAGGAAGATCCCCATTTCTCTTTCCCATAGCTCCCAACCCAAGCGAAAGTTTCCCAAACTCTCATGTGTAACAAAACTGTGGATCCCCGTTCTTAGCAGATAAACAAGATCACCACAGGGACAGCGGACTTAAATCTTGATGTCTGATGACAGTTAAAAAAGTTATTCTTAGACTTCGGAAAGATGAAGAAGTTCCAACTGTAAAAAGCATGTTCAGTATGCTAAAGGCAAAGTGCCATTGCTGAGAAGGCCAAGAATGATCATTTCAAGCTTAGCTATTGCTAAGATTTGTATGAGGGGAAGCTCTCAGTTTGTTGGAACAAAATACTATACCTGTCATAGCATGAACATGCACAGAACATTAACATGAACTGGTTGTTCCTTCCACTAATTTTACTATGATATTGAAGATAATCAACATATTTTTATGTGTGGGAAGGCTGGACTGAATGTTCACAGAAAAACCTTTTCAGTATGGAAAAACAGTTCTTGCTCCCTGAAATGTTTGTTGCAGTTCTCAACAGCAACTTTAGCAGGGTCTTTTTTCTGGGAGGCTACAGATGCCAGCCAACTGGGGAGTCATGAAGTCAGAGTGATAATGTCATAGTGGCATAAAAAGCAGGTTTGGCTACATGGTGATGTCCCACCACCACAGCATTCTTTTGCCTTCAACTCTGAAGGATGCTTTTATCTTGTGCTGAAGTTCTCTAGATTGGGGGGGGGGGGGACACCAAACAAAAGTACTGCCATTTCTTTTTGCAGTGCACATACAGCATGTATACCAGGGGTGTCAAACATGCGGCCTGCGGGCCAGATCAGGCCCTTAGAGGGTCCCAATGAGGTCTGCAAGACCCTGGCTGTTTCCTACTTCCATTTGCAGTTCTGCTGCTGTTGCCATGTTACAGCTTGCTTTACCAGTCTCTCTCAGTCGCACAGGAGAGACTGATAGGTAAGCCTCTCCTGTGTGATTGAGAGAGTCTGGTAAAGAATTGGCTGAGGCTCCTGGAGACAAAGGGCAGCCTTTCTTTCCTTCCACTGGCTGAGGCTCCTCCCTCAAGGGAGGGAGGGAACAAGGGAGAGCTTGCTTTGCTGGGCTGCCTCAATTGCATGGGAGAAATACCAGGCAACAAAATTTTGTTCAAGGCATGAGCTTTTGTGTGTGTGTTTTGTTCGGCTCTGTATGCCAGGGCTCTCCTGGGTGCAGCTGGGTTTTCACTGTATTCATGTCCTCATGATCCAGTCTCTCTCAGTAAGAAAGCAATGCAAACTATTTTAGAGGAGGAATAACAACAAGCCAGTGAGGTGGATTAGACTGAGATCACCCCCTTTGTAAGAAGTTGTAGTTATTTCTCTGGGGAAGAGTATAGTTTTGTAGACAACACATGGCCCTCAGTCTGTGTTAGGATGCCTTCTCATGTTCTTGACCACCACATGAAGCAACTTCTGTACAAAAGGTTGCAATGCCCAGCCATTTTATGTTTTCCCCTGGGTCCTATGCTAGGAACACTGAGCATGAGATTTCTGTAATACATGTCAAGAAATCAAAAGTAGGTCTGCAGCTTACAGATACACACCTGAACAACATACTCGATATTGCTACAGCACAGATATTTTTATGTAATAATTCAGAGCAGAGGTGTCAGTTATCAGAGACTGTTAAATAGACAAAATATTGCAAGATCGCTAGTGTTTAGGCATGTTTTATTTAAAGTTTTTTAAAAATCTTTAATTGTGTTGTCTGTGTCCTTTATAAAGTTTATATCTCTGCTACCTGGTATTACATTTCATGACACACATGGCCCGACCCAACAAGGTCTCATTTATATCAGATCCGGCCCTCATAACAAATGAGTTCAACACCCCTGATCATCAGGGACAAAAAAAATCCACATTTTGCTACCTCAAAAACAGAGTGATTGTAAAGCATCTGGCAAGCTACAACATATGGCTGTAGGCCACAAACTGTGCAAGTCTTGACTACCACTTTACAGAAATCAAGTAATCGAAAATTCATCTTCTGTTAGGGTTGCCAAATCTTCTTCCCCCCGCGGCGGCGCGATCTGGGAGTTGTGTGGCAGTGCGCGCGCGCGCTGGCAGCACGTCGCCGGAAGTGACGGGCGACGTGCTGACGTTGGGGGCGTGGCTGAGCCGCTCCCCGGCCCGATTTGGCAACCCTATCTTCTGTAATGCCTTTTTAGAGTTTGAACTAGAATTTGAACTAGATGAACTACTCACCTGTCATGGATGGTGCCACTTTTCTTTGTCCTTTAAGATCCACAGTACCTTCATATGCCACTGTAACATCATATACTGCATCTAAGTAATCTTGCAGTGAGTCCACAGCAACTTTTGTAGCCTTCACTCGTGGAGTAAGAACATGGTTTAACACTGCAAGTTCTAAGGGAGAAAAAAAAGTACACATACTAGAGAGGTATGATAAAAAGTATTAAAGGATACCGGGGAGAAAAAGTGGGTGTCATAGAATTCCCAGTCTACAGTTTGCAACTTATACATGGTTACATCTTTTTGTCTGGTCTGCAGATGATGATATACTAGTGCTTTTGGGGCTCTTTTTGCATACTAAGTTATTTGCTATATTATTTCTGGGCACTTCAAAGATTCTGGGGATTATACAGTTTACAAATGTGGGCCCACAATACTTGTGTGTATATGGGGAATTCCCTTCTCTGCACTTTCATGCTGAGCCCAGTGCAATTCAGGGGCTTTGCTGTGCTGCCCAGCCACTACAGACTACAGGGCTGCTGCTGGGCCCAGCATGACTCACAAGCTGCATTTCTGCTGGCAGCATGCCCCATGAAATTAGTGGGGCTGCGCAGCTGCCCGGCCCAACAAGACTGCCCTGTCTCACCAGTGAATTCTGAAGGTAAGTGTGTTTTCTGTGCCTGCACAGAGATCGCTACTTTACATTTGGGGGAATTATTTCCCCTCACCATAGAGGAGGAGGAAATGATGAAGAAGGAAAGGAGAAGGATGACGAGATTGGATTTATACCCTGCCCTTCACTCAGAGTCTCAGAGCAGCGTACAATCTCCTTTCCTTTCCCCTCCCCACAACAGACAACCTGTGAGGTAGGTGGGGCTGACAAGAGCTCTTTCAAGGAGAGAACAGCTCTGAGAGAACTTGTGATGGACCCAAGCTCACACCACTGGCAGCATGTGGAGGACTGGGGAGTCAAACCTGGTTCTCCCAGATTAGAGTTTGCGTTCTTAACCACTACAGCAAACTGGCTCTCCAGCCCCCCCCCCCCCGAAATAGTTCCCCATTGGGAATAAAGAACTTCAATTCTGAAATGGTAACCATGGTAACAGGTGTGGTTCTCTCCACCCATGACTTATGTTGATTTGGGGTTATGCAGTGGCAGCTAAGGTAGAAAACCACCTTCTCCTATGCCATGTCTTCTGGGTTCCGAGGATCTGGAAAGTGCCAACTCTGGGTTGGGAAATACCTGTAGATTTGAGGGGTAGAGCCTGGGGAGGGCAGGGGTTGGGGTTGGGAGGGACTTCAGCAGGGTATAATGCCATAGAGTCCACTGCCCAAAGCAGCCATTGTCTCCAGGACAACTGATCTTGGTCCTCAGGAGATCAGTTGTAATACCTGGGAAATTTTCTGTAGGGGTAATGATGTGCTGTGGCTGGGGAACACAGTGATTTCTGGGAGATCTCCAGGCCCCACAGAGAGATTGGCAACTCCAGTGACCGTTTAAGGGAAGATTGGGATATGTATTTTACCTCAGGACACATTCAATGACTCCCAACAGCAACAGCAAACTGTTTAGAATGTTAGAGGCAAAGGCCAATCAGGCCGCATATGCAAACAAACTCTGTGTTCCGACTGGCTATTGGGGGCGGGAGGCGGGGAGGAACAGTAAACTGTCAAAAGATAGAGGAGGATTATAAAATGATGAATGAATTAAAGATAGCAGCTAGACAAAAAAACTGTGTCATAATAGGTGATTTAACTACCCACACATTGATTGGGTCAATATGTGTTCTAGTCGAGAAAAAGAGATTGAGTTTCTAGACACTTTAAATGACTGTGCTATGGAGCAGATAGTCATGGAACCTACCAGGGGAGAGGCGATCCTTGATTTGGTCCTAAGTAACACTTAAGACCTGGTGAGAGATGTAAAAGTGATTGCACCGCTTGGGAACAGTGATCATAATATTGTTGAGTTCAACATTTGTATAAATAGGGAATTGGCCAAAAAGACTGACACAACCACTTTTAACTTTAAAAGGGGTACATTCTCTGATATGAGGGGACATGTGGGGAGGAAACTGAAAGGAAAAGTAGAAAGGGTCAAAACAATTGGGGAAGCTTGGAAACTATTTAAAACTACGATCCTAGAAGCTCAAAAAAAATATTCCGCAGGTTAGGAAAGGCACAAACAGGTATAGGAAAAAGCCTGCATGGTTTGTGAAAGGTAAAAAGGATTCCTTTAAGCAGTGGAAAGCTAGTCACAGTGAGGCTGATAAAACGGAACACAGGTTATGGCAAATAAAATGCAAGTCTGTGGTCAGGCAGGCAAAAAGGGAATATGAGGAGCATATAGCAAAAAACGTAAAGACCAACAATAAAACTTTCTTCAAATACATTAGAAGCAGGAAACCAGCCAGGGAGGCAGTGGGGCCCTTGGATGACCAAGGGGTAAAAGGAGTACTGAAGGATGATAGGGAAATGGCTGAGAAGCTAAATGCATTTTTTGCCTCCGTCTTCACTGTGGAAGATGAGAGGTGCTTGCCCACTCCAGAGCCGCTGAGTTCGGGAGGGGTGTTGAAAGACCTGAGTCAGATTGAGGTGACGAGAGAGGAGGTCCTAAAACTGATAAACAACTTAAAAACTGATAAATCACCAGGCCCAGATGGCATACATCCAAGAGTTCTGAAAGAACTCAATTGTGAACTTGTGGATCTCCTGACAAAAATATGTAATCTCTCCTTAAAATCAGCCTCCATTCCTGAGGACTGGAAGGTAGCTAATGTCACTCCCATCTTTAAAAAGGGTTCCAGAGGAGATCCGGGAAATTACAGGCCTGTCAGTCTGACGTCGATACCGGGTAAATTGGTGGAAACCATTATTAAGGAAAGAATTAGTAGGCACATAGATGAACAAAACCTATTGAGGCAGACTCAACATGGGTTCTGTAAGGGAAGATCTTGTCTCACTAACCTGTTAATGTTCTTTGAGGGGGTGAACAAACATGTGGACAAGGGGGATCCAATAGATATTGTTTACCTTGACTTCCAGAAAGCTTTTGATAAAGTTCCTCATCAAAGGCTCCTAAGTAAGCTCAAAAATCATGGGATAAAAGGACAAGTCCTTTTATGGATCAAAAACTGGCTAATTAATAGAAAACAGAGAGTGAGTATAAATGGGCAGTTTTCTCAGTGGAGGGTGGTAAGCAGTGGGGTACCGCAGGGATCAGTACTTGGTCCACTGCTTTTTAACTTGTTCATTAATGATTTGGAGTTGGGAGTAAGCAGTGAAGTGGCTAAATTTGCGGATGATATGAAGTTGTTCAGGGTGGTGAAAACCAGTGAGGATTGTGAGGCACTCCAAAGGGATCCGTCAAGGATGGGCGAGTGGGCGTCAACATGGCAAATGGGGTTCAATGTGGCCAAGTGCAAAATGATGCACATTGGAGCCAAAAATCCTAAATATAAATACCCATTGATGGGGTCTGAACTGGCAGAGACTGATCAAGAGAGAGATCTTGGAGTCGTAGTAGATAACTCACTGAAAATGTCGAGACAGTGTGTGACTGCAATAAAGAAAGCCAATGCTATGCTGGGGATTATTAGGAAGGGTATTGAAAACAGATCAGCCAATATCATAATGCCCCTATATAAATCAATGGTGAGACCTCATTTGGAATACTGTGTGCAGTTCTGGTCACCACACCTTAAAAAGGATATTATAGCTTTGGAAAAAGTGCAGAAAAGGGCAACTCAAATGATAAAAGGGTTGGAACAGAATCTGACTGCAGGGACCACTTATCTGTACAAAGCCACCCATTAGTTGTGTAGGAGCCTAAGCCCCCATCTGCTGCAATGTTGTGTGGATGTTACCCCTGCCTTTTCATTTACTCTTATGGATTATTGGCTGCCCAGGCACTTAGTCTGAGAATTTGGACTGGTGTGTAGAACCTGAACACCTTTAAGCCCTTGCTTCACTTTCTTATTCTACCTCTTAGGCCTCTTGTCTCCCCTTCCAAAGAAAACCACATTGTCCACTGTGTATAGGATGCTTGGAGTGTTTTAGGTTAATATACATCAATATAATGCCGATGTGTATTATTGTATGCTTGATATTATCATAAATGCTGGAGTTTCCCTCTAACTATCTCTGATAGTTTCCTTCAGTTCCAGGTCTCTTGTCCTCCATCCAAGCTAGTATTATGAGCCTTGTCACTTGGTCACAATTCTTTGGTTGCAACCTATGTTGGTCACTACCCAGACTGGGCACACGTCTGGCTACAAAGCTTAATCTGGCAGCTTCTAAGAGTGAGAAGCAGTGGAAAGAATGTTTAGGCTACCCTTGTGCTGGGACCAAAGTTGGAAAGTGGACATGTTACTCCCAACTACATAGTAATAAGGCAAAAATTACACACTTTTGTAAAATACTATGAAAGTCAGGCACCTGCATCCACCAGCATTCTTTCACAAAAGGGTTGGTATTCCACCTGTGTGGATGTGAAAGTGGTAGACTTTCCCCAGGTTTTGCAGCAACCTCATGTACAAAAAAAGGTTTCATCATACAAAATTTCCAGCCATCAAGAGTTCTCCATTGCCTCATTTCCATTTCCACCCAGAACAGCTTTACCTTTTCATTTAGGCTGCCTCTTTGGATACTATTCCTTGTTTGCACAGTTGTACCAGAACAACTGCCTAACCTCTGCAACCAGTGGTAGGATGGACGTTCTCTTTCCAATTTGATTGCCAGGCTCAGGCACAAACCCAGATGGGTTCTGCTTGTTGGTCAAACTTGTAACAGACACATATGCCTCCCGTCACCCAACCCCTGCATACCATTTCCATCAAACTCACTACCAAGCGAGGTAAACTATGAACTTCTGATTAAACTTTAGTTTCTGATTGCCTCTACCTTTCTATTCCCTTATTTATTTGTATGTGGGAAAAATGAAGTTTGTCCTAAGTAAGTTAATGAAAGCCCTTCTGATTGAGAGCCAGTTTGGTGTAGTGGTTAAGAGCAGCGAACTGTAATCTGGCAAAGTGGGTTTGATTCCCCACTTCTCCACATGCAGCCAGCTGGGTGATCTTGGGTCAGTCACAGTTCTCTCATCACAGGGTGTCTGTTATGGGGAGAAGAAGAGAAGGAGCGAAGGGCGGGGTATAAATTCAACTCTTCTTCTTAAA